CCCAGCCATCGTGACACCAAGTCCCCTACGAGAGACGCATTGGTAGGTGATGGAGACAGGGCCTGTGTGTAGCGGTTGGCACGGCCACGTGTATGCCAGGCCTTTCCTCTCCGCGACAACTCCGCTAATGTTTGGATCAATACGTGCTCTATGTCTTCCTGAAAATGAAGAGTCGTGGGGAAAGTACTGGAAGAAATATGCCAAAGTGTGGCGGTTCTCTCTGGGCGTCTGGTGGGAAGGGGGGTGTGTAGCAGTTGTTATTTTCTCCCGTGTACTTTTCTAGATTTTCTGAGTGTTTTGCTATCAGCATGATTTATTTTCCAATAAATAAAAAACTAAGAAACGGCTTTTGCCTGGTAGAAGGTGTGATCCCACCAGTCAGGTGAGAGGCCAAGTCTGTGCAAGGTCATGCTCTGCCCGCAACACTCGGCGTTCACTGACCCCCTACCCCAGGGCATCGGGGAGGGGGGAACGCATGGCCCCTTGCTGGGAGCCGCATGCTGAAGCGCCGGGACATCGGGACACAGGGGTCCAGCAGGCCAGCAGATGTCCTTCAGTGTGATCAGTATCTGGGCATGTCCCTCAGATTTGGCCATGTCTAACTAGAAACCTACGGATGACTGTGCTGGTTGGGGGAAGGGAGTGGCATGCGGGGTGTGGGTCTGGCGGTGCAAGGAAGTGCCATGACCCCTCAGACCCTTCCGATGCCCTGGACAACCCCTAGCGTCTCCAAGGGTTGCAGAGGGATGACATGCGACCTGTGTTCTGTTCCCTCCAAGCTCCAGCCATGGGAGGCCTTGACCCGACACGCATGGTCCTCACGAGGGCCCCCACAGAGCTACAGAGTGAGCACCTGGCAGAGAAGATGCCTTTGCAGGCTCCAGACCGTGGGGTGGCCTGTGCCATCGGGAGCCCTTCCCTGGGACTCGGGCGTTGGTTCTGGAAACCACTCCCATGAAGAGAACAGCTGCAACGCCGATGATCCTGGCTGCACTTGCTGAGTGTCCCCGGAGCCAGGAGTGGATCCAAGCACCTGCTACTCCCCAGACTTCAGCGCGGCAGGCCTCGTGTTACAGGAGGGGAAACAGAGGCCTGGAGGAGGAGGTTGGTGGTTGGAGCCCCCCAGAAAGGGACTCTTCCTGGCCCTGCATCCTGGCAGGTCTGTGACTGGACGCAGTGCTCAGCACAGCCAAACTCAACACGCGCCTCAGCCACAATGGGTCGAGGGCCTGGCTCTGAAGTGAGACTGGGTCGGAACCCCACTCAGCCACCGGCTCGCAGGCAGGTCATTCATGGGTCACCTGACCCCCAGCTTCCTCGGCTCTGAGGTGGCGTGGGAGCACATGCTGGATGCTGGGAGGGTAGGGTGAGCTTACACCTGGCAAGGGCTCCCAGCGGCTCCTGGCATGTGAGGCTCAGCCCAGGGCAGCCAGGGCAAGTGTCACAGTAAGGGAGGGTTCTGGAATCAGCATGAGTGCTGCAGGGAAACTGCCACAGAGTCAGAGAAAGGACACACAAGCAAGAAAAAAGCATCTCTGCTGGGGGTGCTGCTGAGCCAGGGTAGGGAGAGGCAGGGAGAGGGGCTCTAAAGGGAGCACTGCCTCTGCAGCCCAGCCTTTGGGGGTGTTCTCCAGGCTGGAGCTGGGATCCTGACAGTTCTTCCAATGCGACTGAAAAAAACCGCCGGGCCCCAGGCTCCTGCCCTTGGTCCTGCACTGACTGACCCCAAGCCTAGAGCTGGCTGGGAACCTGCCGTGGCAGGTGTGAAGTCGTGGAAATGCCCTGGGTCCACAGTAATGGGCTGACTCCTGAGGGCTCAGGACTGTCATCCTAGCTCTGTCCTGGACACGCCATGTGACCCTGAGCAAGTCAATGGCCTGGACCTGGTCTTCATTTTCCTGTCTGTAGGTCGGGGCATGGCCCGCCTGGCCCATGTCCCAGCTGGGGAGTGAGTATCAAACAACCCTTTAAATGCCATTGCAAAGGCATGTGGCTCAAAGGCACTGCTGGGCACACTGCAGACACTGGGGCACAGGATGCACACAGGCCCGACCCTCGCTGGGACAGGCTGGCTCTGTGCAGGACATGGGGGCAGGCAGGGCCCTGGAGGAGGTCGGGGCAGGTGCAGAGTAGGCCTGGTTCTCTGAAACACAGCTCAGCCCCACTGTGATTGGAAAATGTCACCTGAATGTCAAGTGTAAAACTGAGAAATGGATTTCATCATCGCTTCATTTCAAGGAGAGTGAATACATCTTTTCCCCCAAGGGGTCCAGGTGGCTGGGGGCACGGTGAGGTTTTAAAGCTATTTTGCAAATCCCTCGGGTCAGTGGCTGCCTCACACTGGCCTGAGAATGAGCCCTCACCCCTGCCTGCCTCGTTCCCAGTTCAGCCTCTGAGGTTACCCTGCCCGTGCCAAACCATCAATGTTGTGGGCGGGCGCCGTGTCCCTCACCTCTCCCCAGGGTCTGACACATTTTCCAGCTCATGGTGTGTGACCTGCACATGCATGGCTTCCCCGGCAAACACACAAGGCGCTCGAGTGGGGTCACACCTCATGGGGCAGCAGAGAGCGTGTCCCATGGGGAGCCCTGGCTGGGTGTCTCCTGTCCTCAACACCTGCCGGGCTACAGCCAACCATGACCTCTACAGAGTCCAGTCAAAGAGGAGTCAGGGAGCACCCAAGCTGTGCTGGTGTTGTTGGTACAGGGAAGTGACCAGGCCCAGCCTGTCCATAGAGAGGATGAGAGACACAAAATCACCTCCCTTCCACACAATGGCCACGCACCCACAGCAGGGCCAGAGTAGAAAGCCGACGGAGAAGTACCAGCCAGGGTGTGGAGATGTCAGAACTCTCACACACTGTGGTGTGCAGAGTAGCTGCTTTGGAAATAGCTCGGCAGGCTCTCAGTATGTCCAGTGTGGAATCGTCACATGGCCTAGCTGTATATACTCAAGAGAATTCAGGACACGCGCCCACACAAACACTTGTGCCGGCAGGTTCACAGCAGCATAAGGGCAATAGTCCCAAACCGGAAGCAACCCACGTGCCCGTCCGCTGATGAGCAGAGAAGTGGAATGTGGCATCTTCACACAATGGAATCGGATTCTGCCATAAAAGGGAGGGACGCCCCGCGCACGCCGCAGTGTGAGCGACCTCCAAGACGTTGTTCCAACTGAAGAAAACTAACCCCCCAAGGATATACCCGGCATGATTCAGTTCCTAGGAAAATGCCCAGAATGGGTACAGCTAATCAACAGAGAGAAGGTGAGTGGCTGGCTCAGGTGGGAGGTGATGGGGTGAGGGGGGATGGAGCAAAATGTGGAGGGAGAGGTAGCTGGGGGCTCCTTTCTGGGGTGACAAAACGCTCTAGAATTAGATCGAGGATAGGGTTGCATAACCCTGAGACTAGAACCACGGGGTGCCGCAGTGCACACTGAGGTGGGGGAGTTGTATGGCACGCACACTTTACCTCAAAGGGATTAGCAGAAAGTGATGGAAGGGAGGGCGTTGGATGGGTACGCCGAGTTGGGGGGCAGTTTAGAGGAAGAGGGACAATTGTCCTTGAGGGAGAGACCGGGGGAAGCTTCCTGGCAGAGTCGACCCCAGGGCAGTCTTGGAAGAGTAGACGGGACCTGAGAACGGGACGGGTCTCTGGGCAGAGGGGCCCAGCGACAGACCACAGAGGCCGGAGGGAGCTGTGAGGTGGCTTCAGCCAGCAGGAGCCAGGGTGATGGAAGGTGGGGAGGGTAAGAGGCGGTTGAGGTGGATGAGGCAGGGAGTCTGGTGTGGCGGGCTTCAGTGTCACGTGTAGCTGGGCTTTACCCTGTATGCTGTCCCAGTGCCTTGAGGCTGCTGAGAGTGTCTCTCTCAAGACCTTGTTTGGGCCTTGCCTCACATGAGCCCAGGCCATGGAGGACTGGTCACTTCTGATCATGCATCTCAGCTCTGCCTCTTGAAGACCGCATGGCTTTGCTGGGAGGGGAGTCACAAGCATCCACGGGTGTGGGGAAGACTGTCCATGCTTGGCAGCCTGGAGTGGGTGCAGGAGGGGCAGGAGGGGCTGTGGGCGTGGTGTGGTGGGACGGTGGCTTTACTCACGGCACAGCTGGCCCTCGTCCTCGCCCTGGGCACAGTCCCAGTGGAAGTCGCAGGCCCGTCCCAGCTGTAGCACTGTCCTGTCCCGGCAGGTGAAGGTGCTCTGCAGTGCCATCTTGGAGCCTCGGGATGTTCCTGGAGAGACACAGACATACACCAGGGTCACCGACTGCCTGGCGGACTGGCCCCGTGGCAGGCTCAGGGCCCATGTCAATCCGCCCTGCTGTTCACATCCTAAGGCCCAAGGAGACATGGCATCTCCACCGGCCACGCTGGTGGCAACACCAACAGGCCCAGAGGAAGAAAGATCCCCCCACCCCGCAGCCTGCTGGGGTCCCGCTTTCCAGGGGGGAGAGCGGCAGAGTGGTCCACTTCCAATATACTCTGGAGTCCTCAGACCCACAGCTCTGGGGGCCCGGTGGACAGCCCACAGGAGAGTCTCCTCTCACACAGACTGCTCTCTCCCTGGGTGAACGTGGGGCACGGGGAGGGGTGCCTGGCCTAGCACAGTCCCAGATTTTTGGCCCCAGATGCCCCCGCTAGAGTGATGTGTTGAACGGACCCTAGAACACTCAGCACTTCTACTGTGGATTGCCAAGAACACTCTCCGGAGAGCAGGGCCCTGGGTTCCCACCTGGCTCCTCTGTGCCTGGCTAGGGGGGAGTGACTGACCACATCCCTGATCCAGCTGGTCCCTGCCTCCCTTCTATAAAAGGAGGGATTTTGATGGCATCTCTGATATTTGCTTCAGGCTGAACATCTTAGACAAAGCATACTGTCCAGTGGGGGAGGGAGGGGCAGTTATAATGCAGACTGGCGGTATTGTTTCTGTATTATGATAAGAACAAAGCTTTACAATACTTAATTAGCCGGTAACCACTGGCGTTCTTGCCAGATGGGAGTCTGAGGGTCCAGGGAGCAGGAGGCTGGCCTGGTCAGGCCTCCCTACTGACCAGACAGCTTTGCCGGGGGCTGCCTCGCAATGGCCTGGCTGGTGCCCGCCCCCTCAGCTTGCGGTTGATGTGGGGTGGGGTAGCTCTGGGCCTGAGATGAGCAGGCCCTGCTGGGTGGACCCCTAGGGGGCCTGCCTGATCCTCTGCCGATTTTCTAACCTCTCCTCTGTCTCCCTCATCCCACTCTCCTTAGTGGGGAGGGTGAGCCAGTGCCCCACCGTCCAAGTCCCCAGCCCCTCTGAGCCTCACCTGGGGGACGCTTCTCCAGCCCTGGCTGCAAATCAGACTCGCTAATGCTTACGTGGAACCCACCAGGCTGGGTGATCTCTGACATCTAAAATTCCATGATTTTCTGCTTCGTTGGACGGTTCTCGGCAGCACGGACATGACACTGACATCAGTCCCAGTCTGTTCATTTCCAGAGTCCCTCCTTAGCACACCTGGCCCTAGGAGGAGGCTGGGTAGGTCTTGAAAGGGCCCGTTTCCAAAGTGGGAAAACTGAGGTCAGAGAGGTTCAGTGAGTAGGGCCACATAGACCCAGCCTGGCAGCCTGCAAAGTGGCCCTCTCTGTCTCATGGAGGGAGACGCAAAAGGGGCCTTGTGCCTTCTTTCCCAGGACGGTCCAGATAAGGCTCAGTTTGCCAGAGGACAGTAGGCGGCCACCTGACACTGTCACCGGCCTCCAGCCTGGCTGGACTTTCTCTGCAACACCTGGTCACAGGAGATCAAACCTCCCCCATTCCTCCACGGAAACCCCCTCATCTGCTCCTCCAAGACCCCACAATCGGAGCCTAAATTGCCTTCACTGTCCCATCTCCCTCTGCCTCCCCCCATGAGCTCTGGGCCGCAGACTCCCCGAGGGAGCCCACCATGGTCATGTGAGTCACGTGCTGGTCATGGAACGGTCATGGGATAGTCATGTGATGTGTAACCCATAGTCTGCCTATCAATTCCTGCTGACTGCCATGTCTAGTGCACAGACACCACTTGTGACCATCTCCACACCTTCCTCCACCCTCACATGGCCTTGTTTCATGCAACCGGCCTCTGGAACACACCTGTGTATTCCTGTGTTCTCCGTCAGGCTGTTTGCGCCTTGGGAAGTCACCTCAGCCCTAGCCAGCGCCTGGCCCTGGAGTGTTCATGAACAGTTGCACATGAGGCTATCTGTCTCCCATCGACTGAACAATGGGTCCCAGAAAGCCACCCCGAATACCGGGCCCTGTGAGTGCATTGCCTCTTGTGGCAAAGGGCTTTGCTGGCATGATTAAGTTGAGGCTCTGTAGATGGGGTGGTCGGCCTTGATCACAGGAGCCAAGGTTATCACAAAGGTCCTTCAAGATGGAGGTAAGAGGGTCCAGGTGAGAAGGAGAGGGTGTGGACATGCAGGCTGGGGTTGGGGCCATGGAAGGACGTAAGAACCTGCCCTGTCCCGTGAGACTGCAGGGTGGTGAAGCCCATGACAGACGCCTACCCTCAGGAACTGGGAGAGAGCCCACGCGGCTCTATTTGCAGGAGTCTGTTACGGCAGTGACAGGACATGAGCTCACCATCCCAGACTGCCCCACACTCGCCGAGGTCGCGGACTGAGTCAGCTGTGGCTCTGACACTGAAGCCTGGGAACTTCAGACCAACTTCTCGGTTCTTGAGCCCATTTTGGGACTCGATCTCTGTGCTTCCCTGCATGGGCTGCCTCTACCCTTTTCTTCCTCACAGAGAAAGAAAACGCCACCCCCTCCATCCCTGGGTCTCCAGACAGCCCAAGACAATGTCCCCCTGGATAACTCGGGGACTCTAAGCACAGGGAGAGGCAGAGAGCAGACTCCCTGTCCTCCTCCCAGTTCCAAATACAGCTGACCCTTGAACAAAATGGGTTTGAATCCACTTGCACGTGGGTTTTTTCTAACTGAACGCAGATGGAAAATACAGTGTTCTCGGGTCACGAGGCTGGAGCCTGGAGGGCCTTCTGCATACGTGGCTAAACTGGGCTGGCTGTGGGACTTGGGATGTGGGGTCCCAGGGCCCATCCGCTGACCAAGGCTGCATTCTCAGACACAGATGCGGGTCAAAGTGCGAGAAGAATGGCAGAAAGAGACACATGCTCTCATCAGAAGGTAAATATCAAGTTCACCGGAAGTTGCCATGCTGTGTGTCAGCTCATCTGCCATGAGTGTGCTCTTGGGAGTTGGGAGGTTCCGGTCCCTGGAAGGTGCAGGGGTTAGGCCGGGCGACCGTGGGTCCCGCAGGCAGGAGCTCACCAGGTGTTGTACTTGCTCACTGACTCATGCCTACCGGGACTGGCAACTCCATCACTTCCTCTTAGGAAAGGGAAACAGGGCCGTTCAGGGATGCTGCAGGTCTGTCTGGCCCTCTGTCAAGGACAGGAGTTCAAGGTTGGAAAGAAATTTCCCCTTCACACTTGCTAGGTGAGTTCATTTCCAAAACATTTTTTTCTTAAACCTTATCTCAGGAGATCATTAAATACAGTGAAGCCCTCATGGCCCTCTGCCAGCCCTTCCCAGAAAACTCTTACCCCGGGAGAGCTCCCTCCACCTGCCTCCACCTCCCTCCACCTCCTGTACCTGTAGAGAAGCCTGGGCATGTCTGTCCACCTCTTCTTGCCCCTATGGAGAAACCCAGGTGGTATCTCCCATTCCCACTGCCCATCCTAATGCACACACTCCAGCTACCTCTCATTCTCAAAACGGGCCTTACAGCTTCTTTTACTCTCCTCCATCCTAAAAATATAAGCCAGCGGTCTCAAGTTCAAAAGCAGAGTAAAAGAACCAGGACAAGGCCCAAGTTCCACCACCCAGAGGCAACATTTTTAACACCTCAGTAGATTTCTCTCCAGTCAGTGTTTGCCGCCTGCACTTTATGAATACGTACAGTGGTCGTATGTATAAAGGCCTTAAAGCAATTTAGGTTGTCATCCAAGCTTTTCCAAGAGCTTTAAAAATTCCCCATAAAATACTTTTTAATGGCTGCAATCTGGTACAATCCGTACCATCATTTATTTAAACATTATTCAGTGATTGGGCTGCTAGTCTGTTTATAATTCCACTTTGAAGAATATCTTTGAGCATAAACCTTTGCCTGCATTTCAGATTATTTTCGTAGCACAGATTCCCAGAAGTAGAATTACAGAATCAAAAGGTATAAACATTTTAAAAGCTCTTAATACATATTGCCAAATTGCTTCCTAGAAGTTAATCCAATTTCCACCATCTCCAGCTGTGTTCACACACGCATGTCCCTCGAAGACATCCTGGCCAGCCAAGTATTATTATGATTTTATGTTTAACTAAAGGTAGCTCCCTGCTGTTTTACTTGGGATTTTTTTGATAGTCAGAGAGGTTGAATTTTTTTTCCCCACATTGTCTAGCTTTTATTTTTCAACTCAGCATTTGAGAGAATGGTCGGTGTATCTCTTAAGTGCTTGATGTTTGTATGAGATCATTATGAAGGATGTGAAATGATATGTTTGACCACTTTCCTCAGTTTTTAATGTATATTTTCAATGTATTTTGACAAACCAGTGTTTTAACTTTTCACGCAACCCAAACCCGTTCACATCTTCCTTGGCGATTTCTTTCTTGGCCCTGACGCTTGGAGTTTGTTCCATGTGGGATCAGCAGGTGATCTCTGGGTGACCTCTCCTCTGGGCAGGCCCCCGGCCGCCTTCTGGGCTTTTGGCACTGGGATCGCCCTCCCTCCCATCTGTGCCATTTCCAGTGGGGTTTTTCCTTGGCCCATGACTTCTTGCATTGAACGTGGTAGACGTCCTGCGTCTGCTTCGCGAGCTGCTATATGCCTGTCCTTCTCACCTAGCAGCAAGACTCAAGGGAGGGATCAAGCACCAACAGACGTGCCAGGTGTACAGACCCCTACCCACCTCCACGTTGGGGAGCTGAACTGATCCTCTGTGCTAGCTGAGGGCGGTGGGACCAGACCTGTTGCACAGTCAGAATAGGTTGGTGGAGGCCCACGTTTCGGGAGCCCTCGTACTCTCCTGTGTGTTGTGTCTGTCTGTGGAGGTCATCCAAGAGACTGATGTCCTCGGGTGGTGGCGGTGGGCACGAAAGGTCAGGACGTCAGTGTCCTGACCCTCACCCACAAGCGAAGGGTCCAGGGATGGGGTGGGCCTGCGTGTCACCCCTGGGCCTCTCTGCCCCGCCCAGA